GCGGTACCCTTAATAAATCGAGCTTGCCAAACTGATTCTAAGAATAATAGAAATATTTGAACTAGAAAGAGAGATTTTCTTTTCGCATTATTTTTTTATTCAAAAAACTTGACAATGTGCATGAGAATACGAATCTAGAATGGCAGCAGAAACAAATTTATTATGTTTCTTTTCTGACTATAGATTGACTAGAAACAGAGGATTTTACAGTGAGAAAAATGTCACAAGAACTAGTATGTTGTTCAGTATCTTAATTATAAATCTCAACGTTTTTTATTAAGATTGTATTGGATAATAGTAAACCATTTCAAAGTACACGATGTTTTAGAGGCAAAAATAATCTGAACGATTTTCATAATATAAAAAAGAAGCCTCAAATATTGAGGATTTAATCTAATTTGATATTGTAGAGAAATTATTTGAGTCTATTGAAAGTCGATAGCAACAGTATATCCAACAACAATGACAACCGACATACTATTGAGGATGTTCATAGCGGTTAGAGCGAGAAGTGAACGGACCAAAGACATCTATTCTACTTTTCGCTCACCTACACGATTACCTTCATTCATAGTTTGCACTCATCAACACTCCTTCATTGTTTTATGTTAAAAAGAGGTATTTCATGAAAAAATCGAAGAACATCTAAACCTAGTAGTTAATAGATTTTCAAAACCATGAAAAATAACTGACTCCCTGGCATAGTTCAATTTAAACTAGTACACTAAAAGCCATTAAGTTCTTATAACCTAGAATAAAATTATTGGTATCGACGAAGGGAAACAATAGATCTGACGAGAAAGTAATTTGATTAGGATTACATTGTTGCATGGAATATGAAATATCATATGCTGAATATTTTAACTTAACTTGTTCAGAATAATTTGTTCTGTCAATGATCTTGCTTATACGACATATATAGTCATCTTCCTCTATTTGTTCTTGCTACGATAATAACACTCGGTAAGTGACTTACTTTTTCTTAGAAAACTCTCATCTTGTTTATATGATTTCTTCACCATGTCAGCAAAAACTTCAGTTGTTCAGCTGTTATTATAAAGAGAAAAGTGATAAAATAAAAGGTAATATCTTCGTTAAATTATTTTTTATTAGAAGTCAAAGATGTTAATGTAACGCGTCTTACCTGAAACAACTGAAAATAATATACCATGAAAGAAACATCATTAGTTTTCCATTTAACAAAGTAATCATTCTTTCTACAAATTGAAAAGAACCGTAAAAGTAGCAGAGAACAGTCGCAAATAACTTTTAAAAGAATTATTTTTTAAGATCTACAAAGACCACATAAAAACATTCCTTTTTTTTGTGTACTCAAAAAGTGAGTACACTCTATAATCGGTCAGTGTGTCCGGCCGTCCGGCCGTTTACACGATAACTTTCGAAAGGAGAGTCCGATCGCGATGAAATTTTCTATACAGTTTCGTCTCATCAATATCTCGACCGAGTTCGAAGATGAGAATGATTGGTAGAGCCATTGCTGAGTTATCGGGAAAAGAGTCATTATTCCCTATGCTTTTCTATGCGAATGTTGACCTATCTCGCTTTTCGTAAAAACTTTTTCCTCTCATAATCAAACAAAACCCCAGCTATTATATACCATCCGATAGAGACTTTCACGAGCTACAAAATGGTATATAAAACATTAAGAAACAAGAAGGCTAAGTCATCTATTGGAAAGATACTTAAACGGAAATCGGCTATATTTTTGTCCACGTTCTAATTGATCGAAAAGCAAAGCTCCATCTTCGGATCACAGAGATGATTGTTCGAGGTTTTCTAGGGCGGAGAATTCGAATCTGAGCTCCACTTGCCTCGAAATTTTATTGGTTGAACAGTAACCAATAGAAATCAAGTTTTAGGAAAAACGACTTTCTGAGGATGATTCAGAACGAAGAGTTTAAACATAAGCTATATTTGCTTCAAAACTCTATTAGTTGAGCAGTAACCGATACACATCAGGTTTTAATAGAAGGGGCTCGCTAGGATAATTTTGATGCCTACACGTGCTAGGATGACTCATCTGCCCAGTTCACTTTTTGAAGTACACATAACACACGGATTTAAATCTGATGTTTCCACATTTATTTTTCTTATGACATTTCATTTTTTATTCGCATAGTGAACCAACAATAAACGAGTAAATTTTACTGAGGCATGTTGCAATGGAAATATTAACAATGCAAAAAAACTATTTCCAAAATTAAGCTGGCTATATCGATTGAATTGAATCGAATGGAAATATTTCTCTTCATTCTATAACTATATGAATTTTGCCGGTTCGAAGCATTAACAACAACTTTTGTGTTGAATATGACAAAACAGTGAGAGAAGAATCATTAATGGATGAATTATAAGTTCTGCTTGAATCAACAATTAAAATAAAAGAAATAATGAAGATGAAGAGAAGGATGTACCACGATCTTAATTTGTAAAACTTCATCAGAATTCAAAAGTAATCAACAAATCAGCATTCACTACTAAAATTGTCCAGGCTAAACTAACCACATATCTAGTTAACAAATACATCATTTCAGCGACGTTCATAATTGAGCATCTAACGAAAAAATATCTCAAATTGTGTGAAATAATAGTGAACCACAATGCATTGAATATAGGAGAGCTACTTTTCAGGGTGTGGGTGGGTGTGGGTGGGTGTGGGTCGGTGTGGGTGTGGGTGGGCGTAGGTAGGGGTGGAAAGTTACCGTTACGTTTCCAGGTAACTTCCCACCCCTACCCTCATCCACACTCCACCCATACTCCACCCACACACCCACACCCCACCCACACCCACATCCACACTCACATACCCACACCCAAATCGTATAAGATCGTAGGTTTTCTACCTGGGTTACTATTGTTCAAATTGTTCGACCAAATCTAAATAATAAAAATAAATTTATACATTTTGTTTTATACATACTCACTGTTGTATAAATTGTTCGACTAAATCTAAATAACCAAAAGAAGTGAATTTATTTATTTAGTTTTAAATATCCTCAATGTTGAATTACTTGTTGGAAGAAATCTAAATAAAATAAATGCGGAAACTCGGATTTAAATCCGAGAGTTATGTGTACTTCAAAAAGTGAATCATACAAATCAATCATCCTAGACTGTCGGAATATCAAAATTATACTGTGAAATCTACCATTTAAAATGTTGATTTATATTGCGCGTTGCCAAACCAATAGGACATGGGACCGAATACAGCTCAAGGTTGAACTCTGCACCTTGATTTACTCTGAGAAAGTCGTTTTTCCTAGAACTTCATTTCTATTGGTCACTGCACAACTACTAGTATTTCGATGGAAGTGCAGTACACATTTGAGTTCTCCATATCTGAAAACCTCGAAGTATCATCAGTGTGACCGGAAGATAAAGCTCTATTTGNTTAGTTGTGCAGTGACCAATAGAAATGAAGTTATAGGAAAAACGACTTTCTTAGAGTAAATCAAGGTGCAGAGTTCAAACTTGAGCTGTATTCGGTCCCATGTCCTATTGGTTTGGCAACGCGCAATATAAATCAACATTTTAAATGGTAGATTTCACAGTATAATTTTGATATTCAGACAGTCTAGGAGGATTGATTTGTATGATTCACTTTTTGAAGTACACATAACTCTCGGATTTAAATCCGAAGTTTCCGCATTTATTTTTATTATGATTAGCGAGTGCTGCAAAAATTTTCATTAGTTAAATCTATTTTGATACTTTTTTTCTCGATGAATTTGAATTGTTTCTAATAATAAAGTCGAGCTCAGATAGAAAATATCATCTCTAATCGTTTATGATTGAAACTGAAAGCCGTAAGCGCTATTGCAGATTTTCACAAGTACTACGACATACTGATAGTATTGCGAATAAACATGCAACATGGACACTATTCTATGGCACGTTTCAGTAGTTTTTTGTCAAAAGTTCTAAAAAATTTAGGAAACATATATGGCAGTCGGCAAAGCAAAGACTAAAGTCTGGTATGCATACTTAAATGCTTCGTTACAGTTTAACAAAGAGTTAGAGTATAAATCAAATAGATGAAGCACTTGTATATCGACTATACTTCAACTTTAGCTCTACGGACTATTATATGCTCTTTCTCAAATCTTAAGAACTTTTAATAAAGAAATTAACATGAAATTTGCAATAGAATGATGTAAATGGGATAAAAAGAGTACAACATCTCCCTCCCCACAATAGAAGACTACTTGAACACACAGCTTCAAAGATGTATTAGAAAATCCGGATTGTCTTATTTGGCAAAAAATTTCTTCTTCTGCATTGTCCTTGTATCTTTAAACAAATACTGTATACTTCTTACGGTGTTCTCTTATATTTCATTAGTTTTACATTATGAATATATTTTGTTTCCTGTTTATGTTATTGTTGTATTCCATCTTTTGGTTTCATTGTAGTTTTAGTTCCATCACCTGTTCAAAAGGTTGAAAGTAGTCGTTAGACAGATCCAAAATTTCCTATATAAATATGCTGAATATTGATAAAACACTAATCTACATATATGTTGGCACTTTCATAAGTATAGGATATTAGAGTACATGTTTTTAGTCAGGAGTAGTAACCTTTAATACCACTAAAGCAGCCATTTAGTTGAAGAATAATCAAAAGTATTAAGTTTTCAAGTAAAATAAGAAATCTTATCTCGCAAAAGATTCTGACAGAATATTTAATATGTGTTTATCAACAATAGGACCAGGTATCACCGCTCGGTCTGTCACAATACCTTAATACTGTATTGATATCGTGGCAAATCTTATCAGCACGTTTTTATTCAATGTTTTGTAAAACGATAAGGATGAAACATACATGAGGAATAAAATGCCCTCGTCTTTTTTATGCTTTCTGCTGTTATTGTGTGTTGCATTCGTTGATAATACGACATAAAAAACGTTACTGCTAGGTAATGTATTTTAGTAGAATTTCGTTTTAAAATAAATGAATATATTTAGACGAAAAACTCTGCAATGATCGATAACACGACAATCGTGTCAATAAACGCGACTTCCTCTAATGTTTTTCACCGTTCACTTGCCAATCAACCCTTGCAAGCTGTACGAGCAGAAGGCAACTATATTTATCTTAATGATGGACGTAAATTACTTGATGGTAGCAGTGGTGCTGCCGTATCAAGTATTGGTCATAGTGATAAGCGAATCATTGCAGCTATTCTCGACCAGTTGCAAACTGTTGATTATGTACATTCTGGAGCCTTTAGTAGCAAGGTAATTCGAAGCGTTCATTCTTATTCTCTAGCTGAATCATCTCGAAACCGTTAATTCTTCATATCGAACGAGCTATATAACACTATTTAACCTGGTTCTAAAGATTTCGAAAACTCATTTCAACTTTGGGTCCACTAAACAAATTTTTTTTATTGCTCTTCGTTGTTTTTGTGAACTTCTTTCTTCGTTTCATTTAGCAAAAATATGTATAGTGGAAGTTTACATTTCCTTACATTGTCTCCGCCTCAGCCCACTAATCTATTGTAAAATCAAAGTTTTCATTCAAAATCGAACCTATCCATTATCGAAATATGTGAGAATTTAAAAGTTCGTAAAGTTATATAAAACTTTTTATTTAACATCATAATTTCCAGATAAATATTGACTGCATCTCTATTTCTAATTTAATAATTCGTTTTTTAATTTTTTTTTTTATCTAGGCAACTGAGGAACTAGCTAACGAACTCGCTAAAGCAACTGACATGGCGAAAGTCATATTTGTCTCTGGTGGATCTGTAAGTTGATTTCTGACGACTTCTAGATTGTAGTTTGCTTCAAATAGGAAGCCATAGAATCAGCGATCAAGCTCGCTAGACAGTATCATTTGGAAAACAAGCAACCTGAAAGAATCAATTTTATTGCTCGTCAACAAAGTTATCACGGCAATACGCTTGGTGCGCTTGGCCTATGTAGTCACAAACCACGTCGTGCTCCATTTTTACCATATTTCTCATCTCATTTTCATCATGTTTCACCTTGCTTTGCTTATCATTACAAGTTGGTCGACGAATCTGATGAAGCTTATGTGAAGCGTTTGGCTGATGAACTGGAGGCGAAGTTTCAAGAACTTGGTCCTCACACGGTGGCGGCTTTTTTTGCTGAGACAAGTTAGTGAGAGCTCTATGATACATAATGCATGATTTACCTCTTCATTTTTAGTTGTTGGCGCCACAAGTGGTTGCACTCCAGCAGTGCCTGGTTATTTCAAGGCAATCCGTGAAGTGTGTGATCGGCATGGTGCTCTCTTTGTTCTCGATGAAATTATGTGTGGCATTGGTCGAACGGGTAAAATGCACGCATGGCAATGGGAGAATCTCTCATCTCCGCCGGATATTCAAGTCGTTGGAAAGGGACTAGGTGGTGGTTATGCTCCTCTTGGAGCAGTTCTCATCTCAGCCAAAGTTGTCAACGTCTTCACTACCGGATCAGGTACATTCATCAATGGATTTACCTATCAATCGCATGCTGTGGGATGTAGAGCAGCTGTAGAAATTCTCAAAGTGATGAAAGAAGATGGATTGATTGAACAATGTTATCAACGTGGAATCTTCTTAGAAAAGTTACTTAAGGAACGGTTGGGTGATCACCCGTATATTGGTGATATTCGGTTAGTTTTCAAGATTTTTCTTCTTGCTAAAAGAATAATTCACTATCAGAATCTCGAAAGTAAAAAACTTCAGTAATTGAAACCTGAATTATAATGTCTAGAACGACACGAAATTTCGCTAAAGATATTTAATACAATGGGAAACCTGACGCTGCCGGATCTTTTCGACAATATTAAAAATACAGTTCACAACATAATTGCCGTCACTATCGAGAGAGCTAATTAACAAGAACTTCTATATCATCAGAACTATGAAAACGACCTTAACCTGAACCTCTTAATATTTCTATATCGAAATAGAAAAATTGTCAGACAAGATTGATATTGTAAATGGCATTGAAATGATTGTGCTCGACTCTTTTCATTCAGAGAGTATCTTAACTTACCAATAGTTGTTTTGCAACAACGAAAATTGCTTAATGTTTTAGAGTAAAAATTTCTTTTTTTTACCAGCTATTGTTTTTGCTGCCGAAAATACTGGATTATAAAGAGTCTTGAGACGATGGCATACAACTATGTTGTTTAGCCATTGATGATAAAACAATTTTTAAAGTTTCTCAAAATTCAGTTTCAAAGTAAAAAAATACTTGACAATCCAGATCTTTATCGACGACAATATAACTGTAGTAATAAGAAATGCATGGGTCTAGGACAACTGATCTTGAACAGTTGATCATAAAAAATCGTTCGATAATTGATAATTGTCATTTATTTCCAAACAAAAAAGAATAGAGAGAAAAGAAGAGAGATCAATTAGAAATTGAAATTGAAGGCAAGAGACCTGAGATAGACTAGAGGTTGGCTTGTGTCGAATTTTTTAACAATATTCTTGATTCTTGAAGCAGCATCCGCATATTTCTTATGAGGGCGGTTCTCTCGACCAGCTGCAAAGGCCCCTTGTTTCGCCGCATTCAGAGCTTGTTCCGAGCGTAGAAATTCGATGAACTTCCAGATGTTTGGATGGACGGCGTCCAGTGGGTGTGGGTGTGCGTGTGGTTGTAGATCTTCTATTTAGTCAGACTCACACCCATACCCACACCCACACCCACACCCCACCCACACCCAGACCCACACCCCACCCACACCAACACCCACACCCCACCCACACCCACA